TGCTTGAGCATTACAGCAGGCTTTTAAGAATTGTTCAAGTACAGAATACTGGTTCCTGACTTGTGCAGTAAAAAGCTGAGTATTTAAAAAATAGATTTGAATGAAATGAAAACATTACAAAATAAAATTAGCACTTTGCCTTTTATTTGCAAAATTAATTCTAGAAATTTTGATTGCATTACTTTAAGAATACCATGCTGAAAGAAATGCTACGCTGATAAATCCAAATGAGGAAAAATGCACTCTGCATCATAAACAACACCCTGGTTTTATTACAAGATGCAGTTATTTTGGGTTTGTTTCCTTTTATTTTTTTTTTTTTTTTTTTTTACTAATCTGCTGTTCATCATAGCCACAGTATTAACATTTGCACTTGTGGTAGCCAAACTAGGTAGCAGTACTCCATTTTCTGCTGATAAAGTGGAAATTTTTTTTTTTACAATCCTGCATTTTACTTCTGGAGTTGTAACTTCTGGCTAGCAATTTCTCTGCAAAAAAACAGAATACTGTTCTGGACTTGGCTGCAACTTTTGTGTGAGTGCAAGCAACAACTGCGGTATTTTTTTTAGATAAACCACACTGATAGCTTTGCACTTCCTTGAGGCCTCTTCTCTTCTCACTGAATGAACTCCAGGGAATGGCATCATGTCGGGCTTTCCAGATGGATTATGTGAAGCCATAGCTCAATGTCATTTTCAATAGCAAGGCTCATAATTAAAGGTCAAATAGTCACTTCATCTGCAATCAATCAATAGAAGAAGTACTAATACTAAGTACTAATCAATCAATGGCAAATGCACTAATAAAAGCCATGCATCAAATGTCCGCATATGTGTGTGCTCACATGTACTGTGCATATATGTGAGTAGGGAGAAGGAGAGAAAAAGAACAAAGTGTGGGTGAATATGCCAGAGGGCATTGTGAATACTATATTTATCTTCACTCCTTGTAACTTTATATCCTGTTTCAGTCATTGAGTGAAATACAAATAAACATTAGTTTTTCTGCATATGTGATGTATTGTATTAAAAAAACCTGCCAAAGCACCCACTTCTATGCAGAAATATCAGCTTGTGTTCCTAAGAAACACAAAGGCACCTACCCTGTGTAATTTGTCCTTACACAAACATACCCCGCACTCTGATCTTTGAGACAAAAAAGTGTGTCAACTGTTGTGTCTACAAAATAAAATGCAACATATGGGAACAGCACTCATCTCTGTGCAGAGCAAGCACTTATTCATGGATTCAACAGTAGAAGTGGCAGTTGGCCTCATGAGCATGCACTGCATGGGAATTAGTTGGTTTCATAATATGGTGTGGGAGAAAGTGACTTACAAAAGTCTTCTCATGCCTCTCCTATTACCACTTCTGAAGCTTTAAAGCTGTCAGCTCTTCTTCCGCTTTAGCTGGTGCTATTCTAAGCTCCCCAGGGAATGGGCCAGACATACCTATTTGGAGCTTCACCTGCCAAGCTGAGAGAAATCAGTTTCAAAGTGAAAGAACAAGTGTTGGGGGGTCGGTCATTTATACACTACCACCAGAATCTTGAAGCCAAACAAAGCAGAGCTCCATAATGAATGTGAAATCAGACCCTTAGCTCTTGCTTTCAGGCATTGTAATGACAGAAGGAGAGGGAAAAGCTCTCTCTGCCACAAGTGAAGATTTCTCGTTGCATGGTTTATATAGTAGACAAATATGAACATATGTTCATATGGACAAATAGTAATATGACAGAACAACAAAAGAGTAATGGCCAAAATACCTGCATCTGTCCTTGTTTCTGCTAAGATCAGGGTGGACAATACTGTGCTGTAGATAGATCTAGTTGTCATTCAGAAATGGCTGATACTTGAAAACAAATTAGATCTACTTTGCTTCCACCTTCAGTGAAGGAATAAATGACAGCTACTCTGGTTAACATTCCTGTTTACATCACCAGCTCGGGGGCATTCCTCAATGCACTACAGCTCCCTGTTTGCATAGAAATGTTTATCAGCTCTATTTTATCTGGACCTGGTACTAATATCAAAGAGAGTAGAATACCAGCAGTTTCAAAAAAGCCAGCTTGGAACTGATACACAGGAGGCACACCTACATAGTGCATGCACTGTAGGGGTGCACATAAGAGCAGCAAGGCCCTAAGGCTTACCAAAGATGGGCTCCCAGGCACTGCCAAAAAGAGCATTTCCCCATTAGGACTGGTGCTCAATTCAGGATAAGCTGCTGCTGGCCTCATGGCAAGACAAGCCTGGGAGCTTCAAAGAAACCTCGACAAAGCTGAGCCCCAGAGATGGAATACAGCAAGGGGAGCACAGGTCCCAACAACCCAGTGATCTCAACACAGGTCCTAAGCAGTAAGGAAAGGCACTGCAAAAGTGTAAAGCTTAAGCACAAATTACATCATGTGACCAGCTTCCTAGGAGGTAAACTTCTTTCTATGAAACACCAGCTCTTCAAGGATTAAGTAAATCAGTCTGTCCTGAAGCTGACAAACAGAACAATCAGTAGCTGAGAAGCAGTCACACAATACTGTATTCCACCACTTACCCGTTTCAACTTTCACACTTATTCATGAGACATCTGTATTAGAAGGGTAAAAGTATTTATGGTTGGGGAAAAGCTGTACGAGTCCTTGTAGTCAAGGTGGCCAAAGCAGTTTTGTTGGTGTGCTTGGGCAAAGAAAGATGCAAATTAAAAAGCCTGACTCACTGGGCTGTGCTAATGAGAGCAGTAATTTGAAAACAGAAAAAAGTGAGCCAGAAAGTCAAGCAAGTTAGGGAACTCAAACTAGATTCTTCTAAAGGAAAAAATAAAATATTAAAAGGAGAGTATATGAGCAGAAGAAAGGTGAGCCAATTCAGCTGTGTGTATAGGGTGCAGGTAAAGAAAGGCTGCATGACAGGGCTTGGTAGAGTGAGTAGAAGACACAGAGTCCCTTCTTCTGGGTGATGGCAAGCCTCTCTAGGACTTAAATATTTTAAAAAAAGGCTTTGTGCTTATCGTCTTAGTGTCACAGCAAGCTGCAGAAGTATTCAACAGAATGCATATAAACCTGTTTTCACCAGGCAAGGAAGACTTACACATTTGTGCTGTTAAGTACAACCAGCTTCTTTTCTGTATTTATCACAGTTGTGTCCTAGGTTCACACACAGCTCCAAATAGCAAGTACAGTAGTTTGTTATGACCTATGTGTAATGTTTCATTCTATAAATACAGGTGTAACTGTCCTCCTGAATACAGGCTTATTTATTAGTTGAAGCTTCAGTTTCATAGAACATCTGGCTGAAAAAGACCTAATGTCATTCTATCTATGTTCTGCTCCAAGGCAGGATCAACTAGCTAATTCTTGTGTGAGGCTTATCTACAATGACAGGAGATTCAAGTCATCAATAGGCAACATGTTCTAAAGCTAAACTGTTTTACATTAGATGGGTTTCCCTCATTGTAACAAAATCCTTCCGTTTTCAAAGTCCACTGTGAAACAATTACTTTTCACCTTCTTTGCATCAACCTTCCATGCATTTGAAAGTCACTACTGTATTTCACCTATCTTCTCACAGCAATCACCATTGTTTCAACCTTTCTCTGGGGTTCCATTTTTGAGATCTATGATCATCCTCAGCACTCTCCCCGATCTCTTTCCAGTTGGTCCACATAATTTTTGAATTGTGGAGCCCAAACCATCATGCCAACGTCAAAAGCCATAACGTGTTCAAGCAATAAAACTTTTACTACTTCTCTGCAACCCACAGGACCTTATGTGAAATGAGGTCAGGTTAGTTTGGTATGATATACGTTTGACAAATCTATGGGACTGTTACTTGTTTCTTCTTACACTGTTAAAATAATTTATTTGTTTCAGTAGTTTTCTACAAAATTAAGTTAAACGCACTGATCTATAATTCCTTGTCCCCTCCTTGCCTCCATTGTGAAAAAGAGGCATTATGTTTGCTTTTTTCTTGTCTTCCAGGAACTCTTTCACTTCCCGCAGACTTTCAAGGCCACTTGCTAACAGTTCTGCAGCACAGGCCTGGCTGAAGCAAAGAACCCTGAGATAAGTTTCACTATATCAAACTGACTTGGAAAACATCTCACCTAAGTCCCGACTTGTTCTTCCCCTATTCCAGACTGAGTTCTTACCTTTGTTATTGACACTAGCAAATAATTCTCTTTGATGGATACAGTCTTGAAAAGGCATATATTCAGTCACATATGCTTTGTCAAATGCATGTTTTCATATTTTGAAAACCAATAAGAAAATATTCTTGTCATTTCACTGACTGAACATAATGGATGAGGCAGTAGCAAGTGCCTGTAAGTATAACTGATTTAGCAGTATTTTGTGAATTTCCATCAGAACATCTTATTATCACTAAGGAGTCATAAGTGACAAGTATTCCAATGATGTTGTGATAAATGAAATCTAATAAATAAAACTATCCAGAATATCTGCAGACTTAAACACACACATTTTGCTCATGTTAAGCAAAAGACAGTATTGACTATTTGTGGTTTCTGAATACACTACATTTTCATTTTCACTTGTACATCCCAGCCTTTAGGTGTAAGATTTTACTGTGAGACCTTAGAATTTTTCCAGTAACAAACCTAAAACTTTATCAATACCGGATTAGGCCAAAGAACAGGGGAAAAAACAACCAACCAACCAACCACAAAAAAAAAAAAAAAATGACCAAAAAACCCCCAAATCCCCCCAAACTAGAAAGAAAAGTCCATCTTTCCATAAACAAGATGCTCTTACTGTATAACCACCAAAATCTCAGTTGAGAAGACCATACTGTCTGCCCTGTAATAAGCATTTATTTTATCTGTCCAAGAATATCATCCTATGTTTAGTATCATACTTGTATCATTACTTGTCACACTGAAACCAAACCCATTTAAGCAGAAAAGCCAGCAACCAACAACATTATTTTTAAACACAGCAAGGTATGCATGTTACTGTTGTTTTGCTCAAAAGCTTTTCTCCTGACTTACCCAAGGTGAGCGATTTGTGTGTGGAACAGAAAATGATAGCCACTGTGTCTGCTGGTGTGAAACTAGAGTTATTCCTAGAAAAAGAAAGAGTTTTAATAACCTCTGATAGCAAAAACCTTCTTAAAACATCATCGTTCGAATATATTGCTTTGAGGATCTATATGCATGTTCACATCATTTTGATCAGGCCTAGTGACAGAAATAATTCTACACAAAAATGAACAGTAGTGTTTGATTACTTTTTATTTAAGCAGAATTGTTTTTCAGTTGTGGCAAACTCTCTAATGAATATGCTGCCACGTGAAGGAGAGGAAATTCGAACACATGGTATGTAGAGGACAACTTTATTGCAGCCAAGGTTACTTCTTAAAAGTGCTGTACCAGAGTAGTGGCCAGCTTGCCTCTATAAAAAGAAAAAAGAATGATCTACAATTTCTTTTCCTCATATGTAATGTTAACAAAATGCTTAAGTGAGATCATATATCCAGTCTACACTATGAGTACTCCTTAGTAATTATCTTCTGCTTCAGAGAAAAAATGCATCTAAGGGATTACACACTGGGAGTAAGGCCAGGAAGGGTGTAAAATTTACACAGAGAGAGAGAGGTGTGTGACTGGCCAATAGCTCACTCTTTGGCCCAACTTAGGGATCATTTTAAGAGATTCTAAATATTTTCCATAGTGAGTTGGTTATTACTTAATGCATTTTACATTTCACTGTTAGGACATATCATCTTCCCCCCAGGTTAGGTTTAGCAGTTAAAAAGTTATTTAAAAATGCCTCCCAAGGTCAGAGTGTGATCTTGTCACACAGAAATTTTCTTGTGGAACTAAAAAAGCATAAGTAGCTCTAAGACACTGCACCCTTCTTTGTGATTGTCCATTACAGATATTGTATAATTTATACAAAGCGTATCTCTGGAGTCTGCTGTATTGCAGCACTTCCCACTCAGCAGAGTGCTGCTAAGAAAAATACTCCAGTAAGCCTAAGTGAGAGGACAGTGGTGGATGAACTGATCAGCTCAAGTGATGCATTTATTAGCCATTGGCTAACACCATTCTCATGGTACTTTTTTGAGAAGTGAACGTACAACTGTTCTTCCCAGTTGACACTGAAAATTAAAAAAAAAAATAGCTCCACCAAACATGAGTTCAGGACAACTGTCTTTTAAGAATCACCATATAAACATAACAAATTTGACATATACAGAGAAGAGTGAATTGCCAGCCCAGCAAATGTATCTTGAGATGCATAAAGTCAAACTGAGTTCTCTCTCTCATATGTCATCAGCATGTCTGCAGGGCAAATTATACCTTCAGTGACATCTGTGCAAATCCATTTTTTTCAGTGGATGAGGTATAGCAGTGATTGATTGAGATTTAACAACTCTGTAATTAACACACAAGAAAGGACAGAATTCAGGTCCTGCTCTCTTAGCCTATGAAACTCTAACAGAGGAAATGCAGTGAGGACAATATGAAATACCAAAATGAGGTCACCCCTATTCAGAAACCTGCCCTTACACATTTGCATAAACTGTATCACCCAAACCAAAGATATCACACAAAACAAATACTCAAAGGGTTCTGATTCAGCACATTCAATTACCTTGTGGAGAAGAGGAAAGTCAAAAACATGAAGTTCATCTGAATGGAAAATACTGAAAGAGAAACACATTAAAATGAGACTTAGATCACAGAAGTAAAGATCACTTAAATCTCTGCAATTGCTGTGTACATGCCTTCTGCCCCCATACAGCAGGTCATAAGCTAGACAGAACCAAGGCCAAAGAAACTCAATTACAGGTAACCTTTAAATACTGTCTGGAAGAACAATACATATCGTTACATCCAAGGAAGCTAGCTAATACTGGGGCTACACAAGTTCTTCCTGAGGTAACTCGTCTGATCCAATATTTCTTGACACAATGAATAGCAGGAAAGATTGCCCCTGCATGCTGCACATCTGTTTGCACTCGTTTTGCTTATTGTGTTGACACAATAAAATCTCTCAGACATGCTCTGGTGGCCAAGTATTTAAATTTACCTCCTTTCCATTTAACAGGAGAAAGTACAGTGTGTAAGCGTGATCTGATTACAATAACTATTCTCACATGCTGGGTATATTAATCTCCCAATGAATTATCACAATGAAGGGAAGATCATCATAGCTGTTTTCATTCTGAGACAAAGGCTAATTCCTGGACTGGCCAGTGTACATCAGATAAAGCAGCTTTCATTCATGCTCAGCCAGCTTTGTAAGTGTGGATAGTTTTTGAGCATCCTGAGGGGAGCTCTCCTCTCTGCCAGCTCTCCTGACATCCACAGACATTGTGGGATGCACAGAGCCCATGCTTGGTCTGCAGAGATGTGGGGACCAGGGAGAAGCTGGTGGCTTCCCCACTGTGATGTGAGTAGCTGCTGGAACTGCAGAGACAGAGCATCACGCCACAGTGCAGGAACTCCCCACAGAGCTGGAGGAGAAACCCTGAGACCTACACAGACCTTTCCAGGGTGTTTGCAGGTTATGGGAGAAGGGCTTTTGCTTACAGCCCATCTGAGGTGGGTCCTCTCCCTTTTCCTTACAAAACTCGTGAATGCAATAAGGCTAATGTGTCCCACAGGGTAGTGCAAGCTAAGACAATACATTTGATTCTGACCCCAGTTTACAACTGGGGAACATGGCAGGGATATTAGCTATTACCAGTGACATTTTCCATTCTCTTACATACATTTCCTAGGATGTGTAAATGTCACCTCAGCATGCATTTAATTCTTCCCCCATGAAGCAATCCATCGTTCATGAATTACAATTTTTCTACAACTAAGTACATTAATTTAATATGCATGTAAAAAAAAATCCCTTAATATGTATAATTCTGTAAAGCAATAAGCATGTGTTGCTACCAATTATCCCCTGTGCATATTTTTCTGTGGCTAGAATATTAACATAAAAATTACATAAAAACATTAACCAGCAGAATCATAAATGCAGTTTCATCTCAAACTCCTCGTGCTAATTTCGCATCCTGGTATAACACACATCCAATGGCAATACAGAACTTTTTCTAGAATAAAATGTGCAAATTCATGTTCACAACTTCCTTGTTTTCTCTGTCTTACAAATAGTTGAGAAAAAAACAAATGTCTAGTAAGTTCCAAGCAGTTTCAATGCTTACATTAATATTCTTACTAGGAAACTCGAGTTATGCACACTGGCAATGAAAATGTATACAGACTGATTTTCAGTGTATTGCACTGCAAATAGTATATATAATAACTCATAGCACAAATGCAGAGTTGTCTTGCAGAGAAACAAAAGAAAGGACCAGAAAGGCAATGGAAGCGCAACCACTCTACACCAACTGTTCAAGGCAGAACATTCCTTTTTAACTGAAAAAGAGCATTTTTTCCAAAGGAGCAGCCAGTACAGTAACATAAAATTACTTCATTCTGAGCTCCTCTGCATGTGAAGTCAGAGTTGAAAATTTCCATATCCCTCTTTTTTTTTTGCTGACAACTCTGCACTGATGTAAGTGCACCTGGGATGTGGCCCCTCTCAGGAGCCTATGCAAACAAGTTATTTTCTTCATTTTGTAAAAATCTCCTTAGCATAGCTTTCTTCTGCTTTGCTTTCAGAATAAAGTATTTATACAGTACCATTTACAATTCCATGTAGTATTTTACACACGTGTAGCATTTCATAATCCAGAACACTGCCACAATTGGGATAGAATAAGAACTGATCCACAAATGACAGGGGCAAATTTCCTACTTGAGCAGAAGTTAGAGTTGTAGAAGGTACATTATTTTTATTAGACAGAAACGTGCACATACACACACTTCATAGAATCATAGAATAGTTAGGGTTGGAAAGGATCTTAAGATCATCTAGTTCTAACCCCCCTGCCGTGGGCAGGGACACCTTATGCTAAATCATATCACCCAAGGCCTTGTCCAACCTGGTCTTGAACACTGCCAGGGATGGAGCATTCACAACCTCCCTGGGCAACCCATTCCAGTGCCTCACCACCCTAACAGGAAAGAATTTCCTTCTTATATCCAAGCTAAACTTCCCCTGTTAAAGTTTTAACCCATTGCCCCTTGTCCTATCACTACAGTCTCTAATGAAGAGTCCCTCCCCAGCATCCCTATAGGCCCCCCTTCAGATACTGGAAAGCTGCTATGAGGTCTCCACGCAGCCTTCTCTTCTCCAGGCTGAACAGCCCCAACTTCCTCAGCCTGTCTTCATATAGGAGGTGCTCCAGTCCCCTGATCATCCTCGTGGCCCTTCTCTGGACTTGTTCCAACAGTTCCATGTCCTTTTTATGTTGAGGACACCAGAACTGCACACAATACTCCAGGTGAGGTCTCACAAGAGCAGAGTAGAGGGGCAGGATCACCTCCTTCGACCTGCTGGTCACGCTCCTTTTGATGCAGCCCAGGATACGGTTGGCTTTCTGGGCTGCAAGCGCACACTGCCAGCCCATGTTCATTTTCTCATCAACCAACACCCCCAAGTCCTTCTCCGCAGGGCTGCTCTGAATCTCTTCTCTGGCCAACCTGTAGCTGTGTCTGGGATTGCTCCGACAAGGTAGATGATACATTGATTTTGTGAAATCTGACAGCTTTTGAGTGTATGAGATGTGATTTATACTGTAGTATACTGTAGTTACCTCTCCCCCAAGCAAATTGAAACTCCTGTCTCTGGACAGTCTGAAGCAAGATGGGAATTCCCTACTGGGAGAGGAGACAGTGACTGTATACCCCTGCCTTTCTCCGGGAGGTAGTGATCTGCAAGTGTATTTTTAACTGATGGCAAGGATACCAGCAGTCTATTCTCATGTGCATGTTATTCAAGGCTGGATGACTAGAGTGCTTCTAAAACAAACTCCGCAAGAAATGCATTTGTCCACAGAAATATATCAACACATGCAAACTCCCAGCTAGTTTCTACATTTATAATCATAGCCTCACAGAATAACATGTTGGAAAGGGACCTCAAGGATCATCTGGTCTAACCATAATATGGTATGGAAGAACAATTTAAAAGTTATCACAGTGCTTTTGAGTAACAGCACAAACCCAAATATTTCCTTTCTGATTGGAATGCAACATCTGGGCATTTATGGCTGCTTAATAACAAAGAAGCCAAAACAGAACAGTTGTAAACACCTGGAAAGTAGTACCATGCCCCCTGAGAATGGTAGTACCACTGAACAATCCCCCCCCACACGAACAGCAGGGTTTATCCCTCTCTAAATGCTTACTCAATCCCCTAGAAGTATCCAGCCCCTAAGAAGGCTGTTAATCTAATTTACTAGGGGCATTAAAAGTACAAGCTCTAGCCCCATGCCAGTACCCCTGCAGTGCTACCCTTTCTAGTATATATAGCTCATTATACACCTGAAACACAGATAAAAGATATGCTTTAAGGTTGAACTTACTTATGAACACTATTATAATCAAGCTAAATTTATCAAGGTCAATATTTGGATTGGCGAAAGTATCACAGAATGTTGTGTAGATGATCATCAGGAGCACGCAACTGCTGATTGCACCAAATGGAGGCTTCTTCCTTTCAAGCCAGTCCTTGATGTATCTTCGGACAATCTGAAACACAGAAAACAACAGGTTGCCTCTTTTCAAAGATGCAGGGAGCCAAGTTGGGCATCACAAAGTGAATCTGACAGCGGAAAGACACAAAGAGAGGAGAGTAATTTGGATGACGGCCGCAGTGGATTTCAAAGCTTCCCTGCCACACAACTTTTCTTCTGGGGAATTTAACATTTGTAGTGCAACTTCCACTGGGCGTCCATAATGAGAGTATATTTTCAAGTACATTCAAATCCATCCTTAATCATGCCAAATGTTCTTTGCTAGCTGTCACTGAGACATGCCCATTAAGCCTCCCCAAAGTTTATCTCCTCTGCTGATACTAATGGATGTATGTAATTATCACAGTCCCCTTTGCATCAACAGACAATTCCAAGTGCAACTTTGGGAATCTTAAAAATCTGACATCTTCAGGAATTTCATGATGGTAGATAATCGAAAGTGATCCATGGAACATTTTAATATTTAAATAGCTAGCAATGCACCAGAAGTTTTTAATTAAATTATAACTCAAGCTTGAAAAGCAAAAGTGCATGTGTTGTGGGAGTTTAAATAATTCAGACTCTGAATATCTTGAGTTTTTGTAAATCCAAAGACAAATGCCATTTGCACACTTTTAGAATACCAGAATTAACACATGAAAACAAGGAAATCTACTGTACTTAGTAGAACTTTTGCACTTTCAGAAAACAGGATCTGAAGTTGTTTTTCAAGAATTTTTTAGAAACAACTATAAATTTTAAAGTAACCACTACTTTCAAATTATGCCAAATACTACAGGACTAAGCCTCAGTAGATACAATGCATCTATTTTGGTCCTGCCTGGGGAGTTGCTTTTAGCTTTTCTCTTTACTTTATACGGTTTGAAAAAACTTTTTAAAGCTTTTATCAGACATCTGCAACTTGTGTTAATTTTTCAGCAATCACATTATCTTGCCTAATTTCTCCTGAGACCTCATGATGTTCTCTGTTACCATGCCCTTTCAGCAATAATAGTATAAGATCCTGAAATACTTCTACCAGAGGGCTCTAAAGGTGTCTTGTTACTTTCCCATAGCGGTACCATTAATAAACATCACCGTGATTGGTTTAATAATACATAACATTTTAGAGGTATTCAAGATTAATAGCAAAGTACCATCACCAGTGCTACCACAGGACCTTTTCACACACTAGCTGCCAAAGCTGTGGGACTGACCTCACAGCTGTCAGTTTTCCTTTCTGCCTTCCCAACTTGTTTGCAAGTCTCTCAATAGGGAAGTCCTGGAAGCAGCTATACCAGTCATCACAGCAAACAGACTTCTTCAACCACATGGCAGGGCACATACTAAAAATCTGGCACATGGGGTTCACGCAAAGCTAAGCAGGCTAAAGACCAGCACTTTCCTCCCAGGACTGCCAAGCTTCCCGATGATGAAAAAGAATAGATTTACTGGAAACCACGTAAGGGAATGCTCAGCACCCCAGTGAAAACACTCAACTTTAAAATTTCACACTTGCCAGATGTTAAAGAGAGAACACGACTCGGGATATATGGCCAAACTTCTGAAAGAGCATTCAGTGGAGCTCCTTCGGCCACCTCTGTATAAGCCATCGGATAGGAATAAGAGACTGCACTGATGAAAGACAGGCAAGAAAGCTGAGTGAAGACATGTAGCATGCAGTGTGAAAGACATCAAGTGGGAAACCAGATTAGTCTAATCTGAGCAGATTTGGGGCTCTGATATTATCAGAAGCAGAAAGCAAAGTCATTCACCTCTAAAGTGAGTATTTTCTAAGGAAGTTTGAAAGAAGCCCTATTATCCTCTAAATTAAGGTCACACTGGGAAAAAGAAAAACTACTTGAGAACAGCTATTTATTTATGGTTCGTCCGCAAGATTTATACTGAAAGTAACGAGATGTTGAAAAAGAAAAGTGATGGTTAATTATGCCACAGTGAAACTTATACTGGAGGTACTTATTTAAAAAAAAAACTACAACCTTGTGTCTGTACAAGGTATAACATACATGACATTAATAACTTTATACATATATTTATCATGACATAGAAAGAAAAAAAGACTTACAAATGAAACTGCAAGCAGTATTTCCTCAAAATCTTCAATCAGCTGATATCCTCCTTAAATATTCACCTCTAATCTGGAATTATTGTGAATAAACAACCCTAAATATCAGTGCAGTTTCTTACTGCACACTGTATTTTTAAAAAAATAAATTTACACAGATGGACCCTGAAGAACTAAATTCTGGCTTCAGGAAATCATCTAATCAACCCAGTGTCATGCTAAATGTATACTGCAAAAAGAGTCAAAATACGTCCTCTCTAACACAGAATCCAATACATCCTGAGCTTCTCACAAGATTCAAGAAGATCTGTAATCCAGAGGTTGAGTCAGCCTGTGGTCACTCATTTAAGCTAATCTAAATTATTGTATAACTTCAGAAGTGAGAATTATAACCCTACAGGTATCCGTAAAAACTCAGCAAGATTTTTCACAGGAAAGCTTGTGTCAGCTGATTCACTTTGACTGAAAAACAATCCATTTCTTACTTATTCATGCCCTGAAGAGTTGCTTCAGGACAAGGATGCTTTGAAAGCCTTTTAATTCTTATCCCAGTTCTATAACTTTTCAGGGTTAACACAGAACTTAACTTAAAAAAAATTGCAAAGATTTGTAGTGAAATAACAATAAATCACACAAACACAATAAAGACACACTGAAGTACATAGACAGCCAGCCAGCAAACCTTGTTGTTCTCTGGTGCTGGCACTCTCTGACAGGAAGTCTAATAGAGGTCGAAAAGTGATGAGCAATGCAGAGTGAAATGATTAAATAAAGAATCTCATAGGTAATGTGCAGCCTGGGCAGAGATATTAAGCTTCATTTGTCTACAAACACAGTCAAAGCTAATACAATCATTTCTGCATGTTATGGCCTGTATAAAGGACGCCAGACTCAGGCTCCATGCTGATGTGCTACCTCTCAGTTAAAATAACGAAGTCCAGTGTTTTTAAGTACATATCAATATAATGGGGGACAAAGGAGGGACAAGCACCAGATAGGCAAGAGGCTGAGAAAATGTCTGAACTGATACTTCTGTGAAAGTATCAGTTTTAGCTTTTCTCTTTACTTTATACGGTTTGAAAAAACTTTTTAAAGCTTTTATCAGACATCTGCAACTGCAGCCTAGGGAAGAAATATGAATGACTGACATCCAAAACAGATGCATCAGAATGGCACCCCGATGGAAAAGAGCAAAACCGGGATGTATTAGGTTTGCATGGCAGGGTTTTGGAGGGGTGTCTTCTGTGAGAAGATGCCAGAAGCTTCCCCCTTGTCTGACAGAGCCAATGACATCTGTAGGATGGACCCGCAGCTGACCAGGCCAAGCCTATCAGCAGCGGTGGTAGCACCTCTGGGGTAACAGAGTTGAGAATGGAAAAAAAAATTACTGTGCAGGAGCAATTGCAGACAGAGATAAGAGTGAGACTTTGATGGAGATTCAAATGCCAGCCCCAAAGAGCAAGGAATTCCTGATGGGGGACCCAGAGGCTACACATGAAAGAACAGTGCATGGTGAATCCTTTCTTCAAACTATAGTTTAGTGGAGAGAAGAAGAGAAGCAAGACCTTGTAGGAGGTGATAGTTCATAAATAACTTGTTGGAACTAGATGTTCCTAAGGTCCTTTCCAACCCTAATCATTATATGATTCTATGAAAGATAGTGATAACCTCACAGAAAATTAGATGATAAAAGGACATAAATGTGCCCATCGGGCAATTACATCCTGGTGACTATGTCCTGGCAATCTCCAAAGTTTTTTGGAAAGGCGTCAGCTCAAATTTGCTTCAAAACGCAGTTCCAGGCTCAAACTTTCCTCTTGCCCAGGATTTAATTTTTAACAACAGAGGAATGTAATTACACATGAATTAACAGTAGTGTCCCCATTTCAATTTAGTTCTTCTACCAGAATGGTTACATCCACAGCATTTCGCATCCAGACTGTTCCGTATCCTGCCCTAACCTCCTTGTCTAAACACCAGCCTCCCTAAACAAATGGGATTAGTGCTCATGTGCTTAATTCACTTAACATCCCCTGCACGAAGATACACAATCTGCTATTCTGGGAAAGCAGGTAAATAATGCTCATCTGTTATAAAATCATACAGGAAAATAACAGATTATATATTATAGAAAAACAATTCACTTATCTAATTGTGCCTTCATAACAGTCACGCTGCATACCCAGAGAAATTTGTCAGTAAAATACAACCAGACTCTTTCCACCTGTCTGCTCAAGTGCTGGACATGCAAGATAAAAAATGGAATAAACAATGTAATTCATTAATGTTCATTATTAATTAAACTAAATAGGACAAGGAGCTCCCACCCCCATTTATACGGAATGGAGTAATTTCTGACATCTGTAACATGGAACATCTCCTAAAAACTATCTAGATCTTCAACTTGGGTATGTTTTTTGGGGTTTTTTTTGTGAGTTTTTTTTTTTTTAGTCCCATGATTAAAAAAAAAAAAAAAGGAGGGGGAAGGGGAATGGTTATGAAGTCACTTTTTCTGCTTCTGTTACACACACAGGAATATCTCTTGCTATTTACATCATTACATAAAGTCCATTTTTCCTTATTCTATAAAGCCTTGTGGATTGACAGAATTTTTAACACAATTTACAATGTTTTTACTGCATTTCTATTCCTCCTGTTTAATATGTATTGGTATGTACTTCTGAACACCTGGGAAAAACACCTGGGGTTTACCATTTCAATGAAAAAACAAATGTTGAAGCACACAAGGAAACAAGATAAAACTATGCTGGATAATCACTATACCTAAATGCAGCAGTTACCTTATTTCATTTGTCTTTTAAGGTAAGATACCTAATTCATTCTTTACTAATATTACTACTTATAGCAACAGACCTTTGCAATGAACTCTGTAATGCAAAATTTTCTCCTGAAAAGCTTCGAGTGGGGCT